TCCTCTATGCCTCCAATGCCAACTAATGTGAAGGAGTTTTTGCCGGATCAGAAGGTAATGTTTTTTTTTTTCAATTTTGTGGTATCTATCACTCTGAAATATCTTTTGCTAAAGTCTATTTATAGCTCCTCACTGATGATACGTCTGTCTTTCGACGGTTACGAGTGTGGAGACAACGTGCTGTAACTAGAACGAGTGGTCAACTGCAGGTATGTTACTTTATACTGTTTTTTCATTTCACAATTTAAAGGAAAATATTATCTAATGAGCTTAGGTCGCGTTTCGCTCTGAGAATGTAGCTAAGGATGTGTTGGAAGGTCGTGCCACCTCAGTTCGGCAACGATTACTGGAAAAAGTAATTCAGCAGCGTTTCATTAAGGTAGGCAAATTGTTCACATTGTTTCCATATCTACACCGTCAAGCACACTATCTGCTCAGCTCTTCTTAATTGCTTTCTGTTCGCTACCATTCGTTATCCTTGGTTTTTGCTACATTTGGTATTAATGAAAAAATCAAAAGAATTCACTCTATTTTTTTGTAATGATCCTTTATTTTCTGCAGAGAGTCCATTTTTATATCTTTGGATTTGGAGAAAACCTTTGAAGTTGTCTTTTTCAAATTATAAATATCATAGCTGGGTGTCCTCTTGTTTAAATCCAGTTCCGCTATTTTGTAGCTCTAATTGGACCACTTTCTGCATTGTACATTAATCCTGTTTCGTTTTGTTAGACCATTTATATGTCAATGCGTACCTTTCTCGCTGAATTTACTTTCTAACAGTGACCTAAGATTAAGCGCTAACTGGAGTCGTCGCAGTTGACCGAAAAAGTGATGATTTGATCAGTTGTTTGACGTTCCGCGTTCCGTTGCTATGCAATTCATAAAATTTATGTCTATTGATACATTGAGGGCTGCGACTCAATGTCCTCTCTCGCATTCTACTTGCGTGGATGTAGACAAAAAGGTGTGAACAGAAGATTTCGATTCGCTAATTTCGAAAGTCATA